TTACTTAAAAATCATACAATGTGATTTTCTGGAGAATTTTTTTTGATTCCGTCTCTCACAGTACCTATGATAAAAATTACAGACCTCTACATGCTTTGTAAGAGGAAAACCTGCAAAATCGGCAGTGTATCAAATACTTGTTCTCCCCACTGTATATATCCCCGGTCACCCTATCCATCTCTCTACTTGAAGAGACATTCTTCTCCTTGCTCTGCTTTGCATGTGTTTTCTTGGGGCCATAGGTTTTTCTCATCCAGGCTCTGCAGCCACAGGCTAACACTTCTCGCTTCACAGTTTGGGTTAGGAGCCCTTCACGGATTCTGTGTCTGACACACTTTTTAAGGCTATCCTACAGGAGAGTATGTTTTCCCTCCAGCTTCAGTATTGCTGCTGTACTGTCATTGTGACCGACCGGCTCGATTCGGTCTAATGTAGCAACATTTGAAATTGTGTTTTTTATATTGGATAAAGTAGAGAAAATGGTATATCATACACTACAGTTGAGGAACAATGGGAAAGTAATACTGCTTTGAAAGTTGATAAATGGCCCTTGAATGTTTTGGTACACCTACTGGAGAACTCTTCTTTGTCTATACCCATTCAGCATCATTCACACCCTCTTAAGCTTTAGCCCCACCCATCTCTTTAAGGATTCACATGTGAGCCATGTACTAAACAACCAAAGATTTCAAGACTAAAGGCTGATTTATACTACTATTTATGTTCGTAAATTTAATCTGGAGTGCCAGAGTGTGCTCTGGGCGTTCGTAAACTCAGAGCGTTGTCATATCGTCCGTTCGTAAATTCAGAGTGTTTCGATCTCGGAGCGTTCAGACCGCACACTGGACTCTCTGGCCGGGGAGTAGGGTTGATCTGAGCGTTCTGACCTAACAACAGCAGTCAAGCACCCAAGCTAACTGGCTAACGTTAGCTAGCTTGCTAGCTACTTCCAGATACAATTGAGAGAACAGCTCACATTTTACTCACCCTAGCAGAGCTGGTTAGGCTGTTTTATGTTATCTAGAGCGTTGGTGACTGCAACTGTGCTGTTGGCAACAATTTAATTATGCTTTGCCAACGTTTATGAGAGTGCTCTGAAATCGGAGTAGATAGCAAGAGCGAATTTACCAGCTACGTCTATCGACAGTTGTCGCAGTGACATCATGAACATTCTATTGAAATGGTTACTTGCATAGTGGAGTCTTTTGTTTAGACATGTAGCTAGCTAGCTAAACAATGAACCATAATCCCAACTCATAACATTACTACCCTGCATGAATCTGCAGGTAGCTAACCAACCAGGTTCAATGTTAGCTAGCTAACATTAGGCTATAACTAGCAATGCAAATGGCTCTGAGATATGAATAATATTACTACACAGATCATACACGTAAGGTTAGCTAGCGAGACAGCCAGCTAACGTTAACTAGCTAGCTAACAGTACACTTTCACTTGAAATGAAAACGACTTTCTGACTCAATTAGAAACGTGTAATATCTGAAAATGTAGCTAGCTAGACTATCTTACCCATATACATGGATGGACGCTTCTCCCTCTCTGTCACGGATGCCATGGTTGCCCTTAGTTTGAAGATGTAATCCCGAGATAGGTGTTTTATACAACAGCCTTCTGTGTGTTCTCTTTTCAACTGCGTCTGTATATTTGCAGTCAAACGCCAGAATTTTCTCCATCTCCTTAGCTATCATACTCTAATTCCACTGATTTCAAAACTCGGTCCACTTTATGCAGTTCTACTGCGTGATATCTTTAAAAAAAGCAGTGTTAGAAAGTATTACCTACACATACTTACCAGCTCATGTTATAGACAGAGGCGTTCTACATGGCAGACCAATCCGAACTCATCTCTCGGCATGTCCAGCCCACTCATTATCTCAGCCAATCATGGCTAGCGGGAAGGTTGCTGTCTTTTTCCTTGGATAAACCAACTAGGCTCGTAATTTAACAATTTGATTTGTATTTACAGATGACGTACAAGTTTGTTATTAAGGCACATGAAAGTTCACATGTTCCAAAAGGCATTTCTGCCCAAAAACGCATTTGGATAAAAAAAAAAAAGTTTACTTTCAAATGGCTCTCCTGTGAAGTAGTGAAGCGCGACGTACACCTAGTTTCCTGAAACGAGTCACAATTGTGTTCATATGAAAGTAGCGAACTCTATAGCCTCTACCTCTGAATTCATAGTTCCATTCTTTCCCCTCCACTGTAAATCCCAGGTGCATTCTACCAGTTCATTTGTCAGCCCTCATATCATAAATATTTAATGTGAGTATTGTACAGGTGCCATTTTTTATGATGGTGGTATGGGCTAGGAAAATAAACATTCCTCCATGCCAGGTTGTGACTGAAATGGAAAGTGACGTTTGGGTCTCCTCATATAGCGCTCTCTCTCTCTCTCTCTCTCTCTCTCTCTCTCTCTCTCTCTCTCTCTCTCTCTCTCTCTCTCTCTCTCCTCTCTCTCTCTCTCTCTCTCACTCACTCACTCACTCACTCACTCACTCACTCACTCACTCACTCACTCACTCACTCACTCACTCACTCACTCACTCACTCACTCACTCACTCACTCACTCACTCACTCACACACACACACACACACACACACACACACACACACACACACACACACACACACACACACACACACACACACACACACACACACACACACACACACACACACACACAAATCAAGCCGTCTCCTACAGTATGCCACGACTAGCTCTCAGTGTTTAACCTGTCCAGATTCTGTCATGCTACTGTGGTGAGAACAAGAGCAGCAGTGCAGTAGTTATTAATAACTTGCCCCCTGCCAGATAATATAATATTGAAGTAAAGCTACAGGCCTAGAGGGCTGCTGTGTTTGAACAGAGCAGCTCTCCTCTCCTCTACTCAACAAGTTCCTGGTCTCTGTGCCCTCCCGGGGTTTAATATCCATCTCTTTGTTGTGTGTCTCTCTCTCTGCCAACATCACAGGCTCTCTCGCTGGCTCTCTCACCATCCTTTGGCTGTCCATAGGCCAAACACAAACACACACATACACACAAACACACACACGCATGTGTGCATGCACAAATATACACACACACACAGCTCTGCACTGAGTCCCCTGACCACCATGTGCTACAGGATACATACAGAACAGAGATCCTGTTTCAGCTGAGAATCATCATCACTTCTAATGAATGGTTTCCATCCTCATACACTCACAGGAGCCAGGGCCAGTCCAGGACAGGGAAGTGTGTGCTTTTGATAAGCATGGCTGGCTGTATTTTCCTTGGCCCAGTCTCTCATAGCTCTCTCCTAGCTGCCCTCTTAGACACAAAGCAGCCATACTGCAGTAGTAGTACACATTGGAGACTCTATTTCATTTAATCAACTTATCCTTTCCTTCCCAGAGAGATCCCCCCTTTTTTGAAGAGATGGAAGGAAAGAGAGAACTCTAATCAACTTGTGAGGCTTAACTCCATCTGTAATCTCTTTCTAGCTGCGATTCCAAGCCAACACTTGCAAACGATTACCCTGCCAGTACCCAGGAGGCTCTCTGATTGGCTTGTTTGGTTAGTGTAATCCAGGGAGCTGCTACAGTCTCCTCTCCTCAGCTGGCTGGTGGCTGGCTGGGTGGGGAGTTGGGCTGAACTGAGTGGAGGCTGTCTGTTATGAACCCACCAGCCCCAGCTCTCAGCTCTCTCTGTACTGTAGATGTGAGGTGTATTAAAACCAGACGTTGAGGGGTAGAACGTTATAATGTGGTGAGGCAGGGAGGCAGTGAGGCATGCTGTGGGGGGTACCCTGCTGCTCCCCAGCCCTCCCTCCCAATCCCCCCCTCCCTCCCTGTCACTGGGCTGTTCAGACAGACGCCACGCCACTCCTGGACCAGCCTGGCTGTCTCTACTGCTGGCATCTCTCCCAGCTAAACGCAGGCAGGGCTGGGGAAGTAATCCTCTCCTCCTCTCTCCCGTTCTCCTCTCCCTCCTCTCCTCCTTCCTTCCCCCCAGTGCCTCGCTCTACCAGAGGAGGGGGTTTGGCTTGTGCTCTAACTCAGATAAACAACACAGATGAGAAGTAAAGACTGTGCTGTCCTGTACTGTGCTGTACTGTCCTGTACTGTCCTGTACTGTGCTGTACTGTACTGTCCTGTGCTGTCCTGTACTGTCCTGTACTGTGCTGTACTGTCCTGTACTGTCATCTACTGTGCTGTGCTGTCCTGTATTGTCCTGTACTGTCCTGTACTGTCCTGTACTGTCATGTACTGTCCTGTACTGTCCTGTACTGTCATGTACTGTGCTGTACTGTCCTGTACTGTCCTGTACTGTCCTGTACTGTCATGTACTGTGCTGTGCTGTGCTGTTCTGTACTGTCCTGTACTGTCCTGTACTGTGCTGTCCTGTCCTGTCCTGTCCTGTCATGTATTGTGCTGTACTGTCCTGTACTGTCATGTACTGTGCTGTACTGTCCTGTACTGTACTGTACTGTACTGTACTGTACTGTCCTGTCCTGTACTGTCTTGTACTGTGCTGTACTGTGCTGTACTGTCCTGTACTGTCCTGTACTGTCCTGTACTGTACTGTCCTGTACTGTCCTGTACTGTCCTGTACTGTCCTGTACTGTGCTGTGCTGTGCTGTACTGTGCTGTGCTGTTCTGTACTGTACTGTGTTGGTTCTCGTTCATACTAGTGGTACTATCCAAAATGATCCTACAGGGGACATACTAAAATACATTGGACTAACTAGAAATCGTAATTTTCCTGAGGACAAATTGTGTGCTTGCTTCAGCTGTCCAAAAGTAGTTTATGGTAGTGGAATAATTGTATTTTTTTAAGTCAACATCCAGTGTCAAAGAGTTGCTGAATATTTCCTTATCTGTCTAGCTCCTAAGGTGTATTCTTGTGTCTTCCTCTCTGTAGGTGTAACAGTGAAAGATCCCCTTAAGACAAACTGTCTAACCCATACATCCTCTTCTTTTATCTCCTCCTCTGCAGGTGACAGCGACAGACGCGGACAGTGGTTCCTTCGGCTCCATCAGCTACTCTCTGGGGTCAGGCATTAACAGTGCTGTCCCCTCCCAGTTCTCTGTAGGGAAGGAGACAGGACAGATCTGTACCAACGTGGCTCTGGACAGGGACCAGGGACCAACCAGCTACGACTTTACTGTCACCGCCGTGGACGGGGTGAGTCTCCGCACCTCTCCTACTGTATCTCTCCACCCTCCTGATCTCTCCTTCCCTCTGCCTTCCCTCTGCCTTCCCTCTGCCTTCCCTCTGCACTCTTCCCTCCATTTACCCCCACTAACCATCTCTCCCTCCACCTTTATCAACCTCTCCCTAACAAGTCCAGCAGTGGACAGGGTGAGTGTATGCCCTCTTCTAACTCTCCTCCTTTCTTCTCCCTCCCTCCATATCTCTCCACCCTCCTCTCTCTCTAGACCCACTTCGTGGCTATCTCTTTATCCTCATCCAATGTCTACATCCCAAATTGCACCCTATTCCCTATATAGTCAATTCCTTTTGACCAGAGCCCTATGGGAATAGAGTGACATTTGGCACAAAGTCTAATCTCTCCTTGTGAGTACATTAAACCCCTGACAGTGATCTCTTAAAGCAGTGTTTTTCCCAGTGTTTATCATAGCAGGGTTAAAATAAGAAAAACTCCAGCACACTGGTAATATTGATGCTTCCAACAATTGAATGGATCTTTTTAACCAACATTTCACAGCAGGGTTCACAGCAGACATATAGCTAGCAGAACCCTGGCTATTAGACGCAGCTATAGAGACAGATCCAGGATAGCTAGTAGAGAGGGTAGCAGCTCCCCAGCCAGGCAGAGCAGAACACGGCAGAGCAGCAAGTCTTTCATTAGTGCAGCCAAATAAAAGAGTCTGAATGAGGCTCCCTGGCAGGGCTATGCTTTGAATGAATCTCCCTGGCAGGGCTGTGCTGTGAATGAGTTTCCCTGGCAGGGCTGTGCTGTGAATGAGTCTCCCTGGCAGGGCTGTGCTGTGAATGAGTCTCCCTGGCAGGGCTGTGCTGTGAATGAGTTTCCCTGGCAGGGTTGTGCTGTGAATTAGTCTCCCTGGCAGGGCTGTGCTGTGAATAAGTTTCCCTGGCAGGGCTGTGCTGTAAATACGTTTCTCTGGCAGGGCTGTGCTGTGAATGAGTCTCCCTGGCAAGGCTGTGCTGTGAATGAGTTTCCCTGGTAGGGCTGTGCTGAGAATGAGTCTCCCTGGCAGGGCTGTGCTGTGAATGAGTTTTCCTGGCAGGGCTGTGCTGTGAATGAGTTTTCCTGGTACGGCTGTGCTGAGATATCATCCTGTAGCACCACACACCAAATCATACTTGAATGTAAAAGGGTAGAAATGAAAGGAAATCACTGCAGTCATGGTAAAACAATCAGAGAAGAGAGGAGAGAGAGAGAGAAAAAGAAGCCTCAAACGTCAGACAGACAGGGCAGGCAGCAGCAATATATATATATATCTTATTAATTTTTCATGATATCCAATTGGTAGTTACAGTCTTGTCCCATCGCTGCAACTCCCGTACGGACTCGGGAGAGGCGAAGGTCGAGAGCCATGCGTCCTCCGAAACACGACCCTGCCAAGCCACACTGCTTCTTGACACACTGCTCGCTTAACCCGGAAGCCAGCCACACCAATGTGTCGAAAGGAAACACCATCCAGTTGGCGAACGAGGTCAGCTTGCAGGCGCCCCAGCCACCACAAGGACTCGCTAGAGCGCGATGGGACAAGGACATCCCGGCCGGCCAATCCCTCCCCTAACCCGGACGACGCTGGGCCAATTGTGCACCCCCTCATGGGTCTCCCAGTCACGGCCGGCTGTGACACAGCCTGGGATCGAACCCGGGTCTGTAGTGACGCCTCAAGCACAGCGATTCAGTGCCTTAGACTGCTGCGCCACTCGGGAGGCCCGGCAGCAGCAATATTTAATAAGTTGGACTGCTGCTCCCTCCTCCTCCCTCTCACAAGTCCGGCCAAATGAAAAGCCTGCTCTGAATTCTGTTCAGAATGAGCCGCCAGGGAAACAGGCTCTATGCTCTGTAGCAGCGGTAGCGAGCCCTCTCACCCCCCACAGATCCTGACAGATTGCTGTTTCCCTGGGGAAGCTATCAATCCATATCCCTCCACCAACCTGCCAGGACTAGATTTTAGAGTAAGACGTTTTTAACAGGGTTCCTGCTGATTTTAACTTGCTCCATTAATGTGGTCCAACTTTTTTACCACTTTGTCCTGCTGATATACAACAACATGTGAAGTCTAGTAGAACAGAGGGCTTTTTGTCCTTAGAAGTGGTGCAAACCCAACACCTAACTCACTTCAGCTGGGCTTTAATATAAAGGGGGAAAGGTGCTCACCTTAACTGAGGCACATTGAAATGAAAACCATTCCTACCCCAGGACACTTCACGTGGTGACCTTCCCAGAAAATCTTGTTTTGTAAATGTTTTCACTAAAATCACCAACATCAGCAAACCAAACACAGAATGGCACTGACACATTTAACACATTGCAGTGAGCGTTGTCTTTTTGATTCATTTATAGATTTTCCTTTCTGTTTCCCTGCAGGGCGGTCTGAACTCTGTGGCCTACGTCAGGGTTGACCTGCTGGACATCAACGACAACAGACCAGTCTTCTACCCTGTGAGCTACGCCGTCAGCCTCAGCTCCCAGAGTGCACCTGGCACCTCTGTCGTCAAGGTTACGGCCCTTGACCCCGACACTGGAGAGAACGGGAGGGTCACGTACCAAACTGTCTCCGGGGGCAACTCCCCCTTCTTCACCCTCAACAAAGACACAGGTGGGAGCTTTTACTGTAGTACACCTTTAACTATGAACAAAAAGTGTGTGTGTGTGTGTGTGTGTGTCCGTACTCATGTCTCTGTGTGTGTATTTTGAGCTGTGTCTGACCTTGACCACTGTGTTTTGTGTCCTTCCTCCACCAGGTGTGATCTCCCTGTCCCGGTCGCTGCATGGCAAGGCCAACACGGTGATCCCCATGGTGGTTTCAGCCCAGGACGGAGGGGGTCTGGCAGCACTGGTCAACGCCCGGGTCAACATCAGTGTGGTGGCAGGCCTGGTGGCGCCCCCTGTGTTTGAACACAGTCAGTACAGCTTCACTGTGTCTGAGGACGTACTGCGAGGGACTGAGGTTGGCGTTGTACAGGCCCTCAGTAAGAACGGTGGGTGTGACTTGGAATTGGAACTTCTGATTGGTTAACGACTGCTAACATCTGTTTGAAAACGTGCATGTGTGTGTGTATGTACAGTGAGGGAAAAAAGTATTTGATCCCCTGCTAATTTTGTATGTTTGCCCACTGACAAAGACATGATCAGTCTATAATTTTAATGGTAGGTTTATTTGAACAGTGAGAGACAGAATAACAACAACAAAATCCAGAAAAACGCATGTCAAAAATGTTATGAATTAATTTGCATTTTAATGAGGGAAATAAGTATTTGACCCCTCTGCAAAACATGACTTAGTACTTGGTGGCAAAACCAGACATTTCTTGTAGTTGGCCACCAGGTTTGCACACATCTCAGGAGGGATTTTTTTCCACTCCTCTTTGCAGATCTTCTCCAAGTCATTAAGGTTTCGAGGCTGACGTTTGGCAACTCGAACCTTCAGCTCCCTCCACAGATTTTCTATGGGATTAAGGTCTGGAGACTGGCTAGGCCACTCCAGGACCTTAATGTGCTTCTTCTTGAGCCACTCCTTTGTTGCCTTGGCCGTGTGTTTTGGGTCATTGTCATGCTGGAATACACATCCACGACTCATTTTCAATGCACTAGCTGAGGGAAGGAGGTTCTCACCCAAGATTTGACGGTACATGGCCCCGTCCATCGTCCCTTTGATGCGGTGAAGTTGTCCTGTCCCCTTAGCAGAAAAACACCCCCAAAGCATAATGTTTCCACCTCCATGTTTGATGGTGGGGATGGTGTTCTTGGGGTCATAGGCAGCATTCCTCCTCCTCCAAACACGACGAGTTGAGTTGATGCCAAAGAGCTCGATTTTGGTCTCATCTGACCACAACACTTTCAACCAGTTCTCCTCTGAATCATTCAGATGTTCATTGGCAAACTTCAAACGGCCCTGTATATGTGCTTTATTGAGCAGGGGGACCTTGCGGGCGCTGCAGGATTTCAGTCCTTCACGGCGTAGTGTGTTACCAATTGTTTTCTTGGTGACTATGGTCCCAGCTGCCTTGAGATCATTGACAAGATCCTCCCGTGTAGTTCTGGGATGATTCCTCACCGTTCTCATGATCATTGCAACTCCACGAGGTGAGATCTTGCATGGAGCCCCAGGCCGAGGGAGATTGACAGTTATTTTGTGTTTCTTCCATTTGCGAATGATCGCACCAACTGTTGTCACCTTCTCACCAAGCTGCTTGGCGATGGTCTTGTAGCCCATTCAAGCCTTGTGTAGGTCTACAATCTTGTCCCTGACATCCTTGGAGAGCTCTTTGGTCTTGGCCATGGTGGAGAGTTTGGAATCTGATTGATTGATTGCTTCTGTGGACAGGTGTCTTTTATACAGGTAACAAACTGAGATTAGGAGCACTCCCTTTAAGAGTGTGCTCCTAATCTCAGCTCGTTACCTGTATAAAAGACACCTGGGAGCCAGAAATCTTTCTGATTGAGAGGGGGTCAAATACTTATTTCCCTCATTAAAATGCCAATCAATTTATAACATTTTTTACATGCGTTTTTCTGGATTTTTTAAATGTATTCTGTCTCTCACTGTTCAAATAAACCTACCATTAAAATGATAGACTGATCATGTCTTTGTCAGTGGGCAAACATACAAAATCAGCAGGGGATCAAATACTTTTTTCCCTCACTGTATGTATGTGTTTATGTATGTAGGTGTGTGTGTGTGTGTGTGTGTGTGTGTGTGTGTGTGTGTGTGTGTGTGTGGGCAGTATGTGCTGAAAGGGCTCACTGGGGTGTCTGTGCTCCCTCTGTGCTCCCTGTACCAATTGTTCAAATAGGCAGCGAGCCACTGTACACACCTCGTTTAGAAATCACATTAATCACAAATTCCATTCCAGCACATTGTTTTTATAATCATCAGTTTGGATATTTAGGGCTCTCTGTCATAGTGTAAAATACTTGACAAATGACTGAGGGGGAGTATATTGTAACTGAAGTGGTCTCTGCCTGGTCTGGTCCTGGTCTACTCATCTGGAGTGGCTCTGGATCTTGTCACCTCGCTTCAAAACATACAAATAAAATAAAATCACACACACACACACCCAATTGCATCTGTATTCACACACATGCACTCACTCACCCACACAGATATAAACTCATACACATACACACACACACACACACACATGCACACACACACACACACACACACACACACACACATACTTTCATGCTACTGTACACACACATCACAACTGCTACTACCAGACTCTTGTTATGATTGCTAAATACTGCACAATTGAAACATTTGCCCCCCAAATCCTCCCTTCCCCAAATCACGTGTAAATTCTGGACTATAAATTGTTCCTTCCTGTATTATACTTATGCTAAAATGTTTATTCTATTCTACTGAGCCATTTACTTTATGTTCGTATTCTTATCTTGTATTATTTCTTATTGTTGTTGCATTGTCGAGAAGGAACCTGCAAGTAAGCATTTCATTGGACGGTGTATACCATGTGTATCCTGTACATAAGGGATAATAAAACATGAAACTTGAAACTTCCCCTGTCTGTCCCCAGGCGGCCCCAGTAAGGACATCATGTACACCATCTCCTCTGGAGACCCTGCTGGCTACTTCACTGTGGACCCAGAGAGCGGCGCACTGCGGACAAGCCTTCCCCTGGACCACGAGGCCCAGCCCTCTCTAACCCTGGATCTCCAGGCTCGTAGCGGCAGCCCCCCTGCCTTCGGTCAGACCCGCGTCCACATCACCATCCAGGACATCAACGACAACGCTCCTGTCTTCCTGCCCTCCTCTTCTGAGTCTCTCCTCCTCCCGGAGAACACAGGGATGGGGACCGTAGTCTACCGCGTCCAGGCCCAAGACCGGGACTCCGGTATCAACGGCCAGATGACCTTTGACCTTTCCTCCACCGCGACCTCAAGCGGAGGTCAAATAACTTTTTCCATGGAGCGCAGCACGGGGGAGATCCGGCTGGTTGGCGGGCTGTCGTACGACGTAACGCCACGCTACGACCTGACGGTGACAGCTAAAGATGGTGGCGCGCCCCAGCTGAGCTCTACCATGATGCTTGTGGTGCACGTCCAAGCGGAGAACCACCACGGTCCCGTGTTCGATACCCTGACCTACCGCGTGGAGCTGAGGGAGAACACGCCGATCAGCACATGCTTCCTACAGGTATGTTCAGTAGATTGTTCAACTAACTATCCCTAACCGTAACCCCAGCAAGTTGTTATGTATCAACAGAGTTGCAGTTGATTGGTTGTTGATAGTTTGAGTATCTGTAGATCATCTACAGGGGACTATCCAAATAAAGTGTAAACCTTTATCGTCCCCAAGAGGAAAACTGTCTTGGATACAATTCTGCTGTATATAAGAAAAGGATAATGAGGGCAGGTTTCCCAGACCCAGACGACAGTAATCCTACCCTGGAATAAAAACAATTAGAATTTCCATTGAAAGACATTTTGTTGTCCAAAATAGGCTTCATCTGTATCCGGGAAACCGGCCCAATATCTGCTACACATGTATACTGTTCATCCACAGGTTGAAAGGGGAACATTGTCTTGGACACATTTTGCAGTATATAACAATAGACATAATATCTCACATATCAAACAGAACTGTCAGTTCTCTGATGTTTTGGCTGTATATGTATTTCTGATTAACTACTTAATTCATCCATCTACAGGTGCGAGCTCTGAGCCGGGACACCACGAGTTCCGGCTCCTCCTCTCCACTGACATACCACCTGAGACCTGACGGAGACGCAGCAGGGTTTGGCATCGCAGTAGACAGCGGCTGGCTGTTTGTGAAGAGCGCCCTGGACAGAGAGGTGAAGGAACATGTGACAGGAAGATATATAACCTGTCCAGACCCGCACACTGAATGCTCCTGTGAACCACTTTGATTGACATCGATCATGTAGATCTTATTCATCTTGACATTAGACTTCTTTAGAGGCCTGAAAACATCTGACAAACTTCAGGTTTAAAATGTAATGTCCCTTTAATGTGCGTGCATGACCTTTACCCAGGTGAAGGACATGTACATGTTGATGGTTCTGGCCACGGGGGGCCACGGGCAGCTGAAGAAGACGGGCAGTGCCACGGTGAGGGTGTCGGTGACCGATGAGAATGACAACTCACCCCGTCTGACCCAGGAGAGGGCTTTCCTGGCCGTGAGAGAGAACCTTCCAGCGGGGTCAGGGTTCGGACGGGTGTCGGCTACGGACCGCGACATGGGCCTCAACGGCAGGCTCAGTTACAAACTCCTACACCCAGACAGACACTTCCAGATCAACTCACACACAGGTAGTTCAAAGACTGGTTAAAGAATGGAATAAAAAATAGATACGCTGAGTGTACAAAACATTAAGAACACCTTCCTAATATTGAGTTACACCCCCCCTCCCCCCTTTTGACCTCAGAACAGCCTCAATTCGTCGGGGCATGGACTCTACAAGGTGTCGAAAGTGTTCCACAGGGATACTGGCCCATGTTGACTCCAATGCTTCCCACTGTTGTGTCAAGTTGGCTGGATGTCCTTTGGGTGGTGGACTATTCTTGATACACACAGGAATCTGTTGAGCATGAAAAACCCAGCAGCGTTGCAGTTCTTTATACATTCAGAATAGACACACAACACCACAATTTACATGACCATTCATCCTCACTCATTCTCCTACTGCAGATGCCTGGCCTGTCTGTTCTCTGTGATAGTAAATCAGGTTAGCTGCTGTGTTGAGGGTCCTGCTGGGCCCTAATTGGCCTGCTGTGACTGTGTGTAGCCGCTCGCCAGGGGCTGATAATTCTAACCTCCACTGCAGCTGTTCAGGTTACTGCCATGCCTTTGTGTGTGTGATAGTGTGTGTCTGAGTGTGTGCGTGCGTGTATGTGTGTGTGTGTGTGTTTGTGCGTGTGTGTGTGTGTGTGTGTGTGTGTGTGTGTGTGTGTGTTTGTGTGTGATCAAAGACTACTGGCTCTTTCTTTAATTTCTCATCATTACTCCTCTCCCTCCTATCTCTCTCACTCTCACTCTCTCTCTCCCTCCTCCCTCCCCGTGTCCTCTCCCTCTATCCCCCAGGTGAGATCAGTACCCGTGTAGGTCTGGACAGGGAGCAACAGAGTAGTTACCAGGTGTTGTTGGTGGTTCAGGATGGTGGTACTCCCCCACGCAGCGCTACAGGGACAGCCTTCATCACCATCCTGGATGAGAATGACAACACTCCCTCCTTCAGACACAGCCAGCCTGGCAGAGGACTCACCATGCAGGTAATACTGAGGCTGCATCCCAAATGGCACCCTATTCCCTATATTATATGCTACTTTTGACCTGGGCCCTCAGGGCATGGGATCTTACATGATATGTTAGTGGTCAACGTTGAGAAAAAAACTAAGTCACCGTTTTACCTTTTGGTTTCTTTCTGTAGGTGACAGAGGGCCAGGTGTCAGGTCTACTGCTGGGGAAAGTACAGGCCAAGGACCCTGATGAGGGAGAGAACGGCACTGTGTACTACTCCATGTCAGGTGAGAGAGGGATGGAAGGAGGGAGAGAGAGAAAGAGGAAGAGAGGGAGGGAGGGAGGGATTGTGTGTGAGTTAATGATTGAAAAGTAATTTTTTATATGCTATTTTCTGCCGTTGAGCGATTATGTGAGGAATGCATTGTTTTCTTCTGGCATTGTTTCCAAAAATACTCTGTGAAACAATTTATAGCTAGACTTCTCGCTCGCTCACTCACTCTCTCTCTCTCTCTCTCTCTCTCTCTCTCTCTTTTTTCTCTCTCTCTCTCTTTTTCTCTCTCTCTCTCTTTTTCTCCCTCTCTCTTTTTCTCCCTCCCTCCCTCCCTCCCTCCTCTACAGGTCCCAGAGCAGAGCGTTTCTCTCTGAACCCTTCTACAGGTGAACTGCGTTCCTCCTCTCCTCTGAGTCACTCTGACAGAGCTGAGTACAGCTTCACTGTGACCGCCACTGACCAAGGCCAGCCATCTCACAGCGCTACCTGTATACTACACATACAGGTGAGAGCCCTACCCCCTAACCCCTAGCCCCTACCTCCTTCCCTCTCGTAGCACTACCTGTACACTACACATACAGGTGAGAGCCCTGCCTCAGACTGCTATCTCTTACGTCATATACCCTATCTCCTATCCCCTACCACATTCCTTCTCACAGATCTAGCTGTATCCTAATACTAAAGGTCAGAAAACTACTAGATCAACACCTACCTATCAAATATCCCACATTAAACTAAAGTACTGGGAGAAGTACTAAGTCAAGCTTGCTGTAGAAGTCTGGCTCCTCACAACAAAGTTGTTCCAAATAGACATGTCAGGCTGAGTTCTGACAACCTTCCCTCCTTCCCTTCTCCTCCTATGTGACTTTTCAAAAGGGGAATTTTTCTTTGAGTAAGAGATGGAAAACTAGGTATGACTCAAGTGCTCCCATCTGGCCCATGATGATCACCAGCTGTGGTTCCTCTGATCAAGAGTATACTGAATGACTTCAACACTTTTAATACAGTAGCCCCGCTTCAATACGACACCACCTGGGATAGACACCCACATAAAATACACAATTCAAGTTAATTTAATTAATATTTGATATACAACTAAATAATGACCAGCCAGGCCAGCACAATGGAAGGAACTCTGTAGCTGTAAATCCATGTGCGTCCCAAATGACACCCTATTCCCTATATGGTGCACTTATTTTGACCAGTGCCCTATGTAGGGAATAGGGTGCCATTTGGAACGCAGGCCCAGAATCTTTAAGGTTCCAGGAAAATAGAAGGGCCTTGTAATGGCTGCAGTAAAACAGCTTCTCTGGGTTACTATTTTCGTAAATGTTTTCCTTCACTCATTTCTCCTGTTCTTTTGACGTAAGGAATGTGAGTAATAATTAGTGTGTAATAGGATTAAACAGGGCTGTGTTGTTCTTGTCTGTTGACGCGTTTCTATCACGTCATCATTTCAGACCCTCGCACCGTCCAAGACAAGTACAGCAGTAGGGACAGGATATGATCTCACTAATTTTAACGCTTGTTGACGTTCGATTTGCTGTCTAATGTGGAGTTAATTCACAGATTGTCATATTATGTTTCATAAAGAGCAATGGGTTGTTAGTGACTGCCAACATAGTGGTGCTGTATAGTGTAACTGTGGTTTATCAAGGTATTGTAGGCTGTAATGAATTAAGCATTAACAAGGATTTGTTGAGGAGGAAAATTGATAAGCGCACAAAACAATTTTCCTTCCTCTTCCTCTCTCTTCCTCTCTCTCTCTCTCTCTCTCTCTCTCTCTCTCGCTCAGATATTTAAACCCTGTGACTCCATCCCCTGCTTAGAGCTGAATTGAAAAACAGGCTTATTAGAACAATGTGTCATATGTGTAACTTCTGGTGCCTGTTTCCATACAAAGGGAGCGATGCGTCAAAGCTGCGGTCTTTCATGTTCTTCTGATTGGTCATCAAGGGAGGTGTAAAAACTCAGTACTGTAGACGACCGAGCCCAGCCCACTGCAGCGAGATCTGAAAGCTCACTACAATTTCCTTTTCTGATTATTATTACTTTTATCCCTTATTATTTTTCCTGGCAGTCACATGCCTATCTGTTTAAACGTGATTAGCGCTAGCAGGCACGTTGTTGGAGTTTGTAAAAAACTCTTAAAACGTTCAGTTTATTTGATTCCTAATGAGGAAATAGAGTTGGAGGGTTGAAATCTGTTTCTGGTTCACAGCGTCCCATTGAATATTTTGATTCTTTAGCGTTGTATTGGAAAATGTAGCTCCAACTGCCACCAGGCATGTATAATGGTCATTATTAGGCACATACAGTGCATTCAGAAAGTATTCAGACCCCTTGAATCTTTCCACATTTTGTTATGTTACAGCCTTATTCAAAAATAGATTACATTTTTTTATCCTCAGCGATTTACACACAATACCCCATAATGACAAAGCGAAAACAGGTTTTTAGAAATGTTCATACAAAAAACAAAACAAAATGATTACCTTGTTTATATAAGTATTCAGAGCTCAGGTGCGTCCTGTTTCCATTGATCATCCTTGAGATGTTTCTACAACTTGATTGGAGTCCACCTGTGGTAAATTCAATTGATTGTATATGATTTGGAAAGGCACACACCTGTCTGTATAAGGTCCCACAGTTGACAGTGCATGTCAGAGCAAAAACCAAGCCATGAGGTCCAAGGAATTGTCCGTAGAGCTCAGAGACAGGATTGTGTCGAGGCACAGATCTGGGGAAGGGTACCAAAACATTTCTGCAGCATTGAAGGTCCCCAAGCACACAGTGGCCTCCATCATTCTTAAATGGAAGAAGTTTGGAACCACCAAGACTCTTCCTAGAGCTGGCCGCCTGGCCAAACGGAGCAATCGGGGGAGAAGGGCCTTGGTCAGGGAGGTGACCAAGAACCCGATGGTCACTCTGACAGAGCTTTAGAGTTCCTCTGTGAAGATGGGAGAACCTTCCAGAAGGACAACCATCTCTGCAGCGCTCCACCAATCAGGCCTTTATGGTAGAGTGGCTAGACGGAAGCCACTCCTCAGTAAAAGGCACATGACAGCCCGCTTGGAGTTTGCCAAAAGGCACCTAAAGGACTCTCAGACCATGAGAAACAAGATTCTCTGGTCTGATGAAACCGAGATTGAACTCTTTGGCCTGAATGCCAGCACGTCTGGAGGACACCTGGTACCATCCCTACGGTGAAGCATGGTGGTGGCAGCATCATGCTGTGGGGATGTTTTTCAGTGGCAGGGACTGGGAGACTAGTCAGGATGGAGGGAAAGATGAACGGAGCAAAGTACAGAGAGATCCTTGATGAAAACCTGCTCCAGAGTGCTTAGGACCTCAGACTGGGGCGAATGTTCACCTTTCAACAGGACAATGACCGTAAGCACACAGCCAAGATAACGCAGGAGTGGCATTGGGACAAGTCTCTGAATGTCCTTGAGTGGCCCAGCCAGAGCCCGGACTTGAACCTGATCGAACATCTCTGGAGAGACCTGAAAATAGCTATGCAGCGTCGCTCCCCATCCAACCTGACAGAGCTTGAGAGGATCTGCAGAGAAGAATGGGAGAAACTCCCAAAATACAAGTGTGCCAAGCTTGTAGCGTCATACCTAAGAAGAATCAAGGCTGTAATGGCTTCCAAAGGTGCTTCAACAACATTCTGAGTAAAGGGTCTGAATACATATGTAAATGTGAATTTTCCATTTATTTTGTATTTTATTTTGCAACATTTCTAAAAACCTGTTTTTGCTTTGTCATTATGGGTTATTGTGTGTAGATTGATGTGGGGGGGAAAAACGATTTAATCCATTTTAGAATAAGGCTGCAACGTAACAAAATGTGGAAAAAGTGAAGGGGTCTGAATACTTTCCGAATGCACTGTAGTGTGAGTCTGCTGAGTGTTGATGTTCAGCTATCTTGCTAAATGGATTATCATTAACTGTCAGGATATTCATAATAGCTAATAATGTCCCTCAACAGTTAATAGATTGTTTGAAGATCCCAGTTATAAGAAACATTGATTAGCTAGCTACTAATTTCGTCCTCCAGCCGGCTCACGCAATTGTGCCTGGTGATGAAGTTAGCTAGCTACAAAACTTTAACACCAATATATTGATGATATACAGTATGCTTACCATATCCCTATCTGTCTGTCCATAGGTCCTGAGTGGTGTATTGAGGATATATGCTTACCAAATCCCTATCTGTCTGTCCACAGGTCCTGAGTGCGAGCAGAGCTCCTTCCAAAGCCAACTCCCTCTCCATATCCTTCAACTCCGTCGAGGAGGCCAAACCGGGCTCTGTGATTGGCTCTGTGAGGTCACATGATGGCTTCGAGCTCCCTGAGGCTGGTCAAGTGACCTACACGGTGGTGGGCGGGTCAGACCGAGACGGAACGTTCATGGTGGACCGTCAGACAGGTGACGTGTACCTGGCGAGGGAGCTGGACTACGAGCGCTCCGCCCGCTACACACTACAGATAGAGGTGGACGACTTCTCCACGACGTTACCCAGTAGCCACCTGTTGCAGCTGGACATCGAGGTGGAGGACAGCAACGACCACGCGCCCCGCTTTCCCGGAGGACCCCGTTACAGTGGTGATACCTGAGAACATGGAGCCTGGGGCGTCCATCTACACCTTCCAGGCCTCGGACCAGGACGGATCAGGGCCCAACAGCCTGCTGACCTACTCCATCCTGCACCAGGTAGGGTTAGGAGGTTAGGGTTAAGACCCACAGGTTAGAGAAGCAAATCAGTAACAGGAATGTTGCTGTTTCAAATTCCAGACTGGTTGTGAAAGTTGGAGATGAACTCACTGGCAAATAGACAATTTCCTGCCATTGTGCCCTTGAGCAAGGCACTTAACCCTATAAACTAGCGGTTTAGGGAGTAGAGCAGAATAATGATTTATATCTCTGCAGATGGACCAATAAAGTTATGTTCTATTCTCCTCTGTTTCAGTACCCTGGACTAATAAAGTTATATTATATTCTACTCTGTTCCAGTACCTTGGACTAAAAACGTTATATTCTATTCTAATCTGTTCCAGTACCCTGGACTAGTAAAGTTATATTTAATTCTACTATGTTCCAGTACTCTGACCTCCCTGACCTCCTGGCCCTTGACCCTTCCACTGGCGTCCTGACCCTGGCGCAAGAACTGGACCATGAGGTCACTTCCTCCCTTATCCTGGTCATCCAGGCGACAGACTCTGCCCTGAACGTTAGCCAGCGGCGCTGGGGCTCGGTGACGGCGAGGGTATTTGTGACAGATGAGAACGACAACGCTCCAGTGTTTAGCTCGTCATCCGCGGTTAGCGTCATGGAGGACCAGCCTGTGGGCTTCGTGGTTCTCTACGTCGTGGCACAAGATGCCGACCAGGGGGAGAACAGACGGGTCAGCTACTTCATCGAGACTGGCAACGCTGGAGGGACGTTCAGCCTCAACCGTAATACTGGTGGGTCATTTATACAACTCCTAGTGTAATGAAAGTGGTTTGGAAGCTCAAAGAAAAGGTCACCTTGTCTGAGACCTGAAGACTTTTGTTAGCTCCCCAAGCTAATGCCTAAGCTTGAGCTCAGCTGGATAACACAGCCTTGTGGCATACAGACGACCGGGTTCAAACCCGGTCGGGAACACTGGCATACGTTATTGTTTTCTCACGAGAGCAATCGTGTAGTTGCCAGCTGTGCTGTAAACACATGGTGTGATGTCAGAAGGCCATTGGTACCACATTCCCAGCTTGCATGTGGTTGGGTCTGTGAGAGAGTCTCATAAGGTTCAACCTATAATCAGGCCCCAGCACATTTAAAACAGTATAAACAGGGAAGTGTGAAGAGATGTCGTGTGAGAGATGAATCAGAGTTAACGAAGTTACCCCAGTGCATTGCGTAGGCCTGCCTACCTGAGCGCTAAACCCTACCACCACCAACACTGCTGTAACAACCACCACCGCTGTAAGTGACGATCCAGCTATCTGGCCGCAGTTTAACAACTTTTTCCACAGCAGAAGGCCGCAGCGAGGAGAGGCTGGCAGTAAACACACACTGCTAGACACGCAACGGGCAGGGCTGCCGTGCAGCACTGAGATTACACACACACACCAGGCCTGCCGTGCAGTGCTGAGATTTCCCTCTCCTTCTCAGTACCTGGCCCTGGGAGCAGAGGAGGAGAGAGAGTGCTGTGCCCTGACTCATTTCAATTTTATGCTTTAATGAGCCGCAACCGTCAAAGAGAGAGTGAGGCGGGAGGGGAAGGAGGGAGGAGGGGGGTGTTGGTTCTGTTTTAAATTGTTGGGTTTGTGGTTTTCTCTCTGGATCTCCGTACGCTCTGAGATAACTTGCCCCTGAGCCTTTAGTATGGTCAGAGTTAGTGGCTGGAATAGTTTCAGCCGCTGTGACTCCTCAGTGATCCCGTCCTAAGCCTGGTCACTAACAGCACATGGGTAGGAGGAGGGAAGAGAGAGAGAGAGAGAGAGATGTTTCCAATTCCAGTCTGTTTGGCTTACGTATATGCATGGTTGTATTATAGTAGAGCAGTCACAGTTCTGAAGATTGGGGTAAGGTAAAGTTGTTTCCTTGCTCTCATATGTTTCTACTCATGTTAGACATTCTATTAGTTTATTCTATTAATCGAGTTAGTCTAGGGAACAGCGTCGTCTTACACAAGTTCATAAAAAAGAACAATGAAAAACTTTCAGGTGCGGATTCTCAGACCTAGATTAAGCCATCTCCTTGACAAAAAAATCATCCCAAATGGAGAAGCTTAGTCCAGGAGATGACTGGGATTAATATGGGTCAGGGAAACTCGACACACATAGTTTGATGATTTTATATTTCCATTGAGGAGGGGGAAAGAACCCCTAATAGAGTTAGGAGACACCCATCCTCCACCCAGAAGGAGTCAAGGTTACCATGATCTGTAGTAGGCCTCTCCTACACAGCTCTCTGTTGTCGTGGTGTAATGGGAACATAACCAAAACAGAATGTGTAGAGATGGGACCATTTCTCCTGTCATCGTAGACCCTGGCCTGGGCCGGTTGGAAGGACAGGACAGGAGCAGACCAGGTGTTTAGAGGATTAACTCATGACATTAACTGTCATTATACTGTCTAATTATCTGCATGGCTGGAACCAGTTCAATATGGGCACCACACACATACGCATGCCTGCACGAACACACACACACATACACACACACACACACATATACTGGAACCAGATTAAGATGGCCGCCCTCTCTCTGTGACACACCTGATAGATCTTGACAGCTTCCTGTTTCTATCCCATCGGCCGACCATGGGGTTCCTCGGTTCCTGATTGGTGGGGCGGTGGGGGAGGGGTGGAGCCAGGGTCAATGTGTGTCTCACACACCACAAGAAAGCCCAGAAGACCAAACGGCAAATAGTGTGTGTGTGTGTGTGTGTGTGTGTGTGTGTGTGGGTGGGTGTTATCAAAGTCTCAAAAGAGGGACTGAGTCACACACACACGCACAAACACAGACACATGCAGTTCTAATCGCTCCTTTAATGGTTCCCAGCAGTCTGAGGTTGGGGTTCTTTGGTGTTTTGTTTCTGCCTTTCATGGGAATAGATCCACACACACACACACAGATGACTGGGTGGACAGGGTGGGTGGGTGTGTATAAGTAAGTAAAGTTCTTGGCAAGGAGCAGTGCTTGGCCTCCGACGGAGAGGGAGGAATGACTGGTGAAAGATGAAGCTAGCAGAGAAGTGAAGCTAGCAGTGAAAGCTGAAGCTAGCAGAGTTGTGAAGCTTGCAGTGAAAGTTGAAGCTAGCAGAGTGTTGGAGTTATCAGTGAAAGTTGAAGCTAGCAGAGTGTTGAAGCTAGCAGTGAAAGTTGAAGCTAGCAGAGAAGTGAAGCTAGCAGTATAAGTTGAAGCTAGCAGAGTTGTGCTGGACTAGAGAGCACAGGGACCTTTTCCAGGGTGTGACTGCACTCGGAGAGGGACTGGCTGAGGCTGCGTCCCAAATAGCACCCTGCATCCCAGCTAAATTCACTAATTTTGACCAGGGCCCATAAGGCCCTCTCCACTCCTTAGGCTCTCTCTTCATCCTGTAGTCTGTATCATCTCCTCTCCTCCATCCCAGGATCCCTCTTTAACCCCTCTCCTCTCCTCCATGCCAGGCTCCCTCTCTAACCCCTCTCCTCTCCTTCTCCAGGTTCTCTCTCTATCCTGAAGCCCATCGACCGGGAGGAGCAGGACCTGTTCAACCTGACCATCGTAGCCCAGGACCACGGGGTACCAGCGCTCTCATCCAGCCAGCTGCTGTCTGTCCAGGTCATCGATGTGAATGACGAGGTGCCCTGGTTCCAGGAGAACCAGTACCAAGCCCAGATTACAGAGAACCAGCCTGCAGGAACCACTGTTCTGGTGGTGTTGGCCTCCGACCTGGACCAAGGTGAGAGATGCTAGGCTTGAGCTCAGTGGGCTAACACATGAGATCCAGTCATTACATACATAGTACAGCACTGACAAGCACATAAGACTGCATTACCCTCATCATATACTATATGTTATGGTGGCTTTCTTTATGACATAGTAATATAGAAAGTACACATGATGACACCCAGTTCTTCTACATATTTTCTTTAACAAAATAGAACTCAGTGTCAGCCAGCAGAGCCTCTTGTTCTAAGTGTTGATCCTCCATGTGTTCAACGCATGTTTACATCATCAGAACCGCCAGTAACAGTTGGTTTTAATTGAAGACCATGCTGGCGGATGGTGAGTGTGTGTGTGTCCGTGTGTGTGTCTGTGAGTATGTGTGTGTGTTCACATTCCCCTGGAGTTAGTCAAGAGCACATAAACCAGAAGGATTATAAAGTTTCTCTCCAGGGTGATTAGTGGGGTAAGGTGATGGTGCCAGAGTCTTTCTCTGTTAGCACGCTATCACACAAATAACACAACACACACACACACACACAATCTCCCAGCCTCCGCCCGCCCCGTGCAGCCCAGCCACCCGCTTACACAGCAAAACCATCTACAAACAAATAAAAACAGGAATGCTGCTGTGTTTGCTCTTTTAGGTGAGAAAAATAAATTGTGTTTTTTTTCGAAAACACTTATTTGCAAATGTTTTCAGTGCCCGGGGGTAGAGAGGATTCAAAGTATAACATGACTGAATGGAATAGGACTCTGCCGGTGATGTCCATTTGACTCCAATCCTTCTCCCTACCACATAACCTTGAACCCTAACCCTTTGATGTTTGCAAACTGTATCTGTAAGATGGAAGCAATATGGTGGAAGCTCCACCACTACTACGGTGTTTATACCTATACAGACCCTTCAGATCTTCAGAACATTGAAGGGTAAGGGCCAAGGGGATGTATTGGAAGCTGCTGACAGATAGTATTAGGGTTAGACTTCATATGCTCCTTCTCTCTCTTTCTCTTTCTTTCTGTCTCTCTTTCTCTCTCTCCAGGTACCAACGGCCAGGTGACATATGGAGGCATCTCTGAGGAGGGTTTCAGCATCCACCCAGCTACAGGTGTTATAACCACCACTAAAGCCCTGGACAGAGAGGCACAGGAACAATACACACTGACAGGTAACTGGCTCTGACCATAACATCTAACCCCGATCCTTAACCGGTAACCCCTCAGGCTAACTCCTGGCCCTAACCCTGATCCTTAACCGGTAACCCCTCAGGCTAACTCCTGGCCCTAACCCTGATCCTTAATCCTAATCCTAACCACTAAAGCCCTGGACAGAGAGGCCTAAAAACTGTACACTCTGACAGGTAACTGGCCCTTTATATGTGTAACCCTTTTTGGTTCCAGGAAGAACCCTTTTTGGTTCCAGGTAGAACCTTTTTGGGTTTCATGTAGAACCCTCTGTAGAAAGGGTTCTACGTGGAACCCAAAAGGGTTCTACCTGGAACCAAAAAGGGTTCTTCCTGGAACCAAAAAGTGTTCTTCCTGGAATCAAAAAGGGTTATTCAAAGCCCTGCCACACTGCTTTACAACGGAGGTACGATAGCCCTGCCACACTGCTTTACAATGGAGGTACGATAGCCCTGCCACACTGCTTTACAACGGAGGTACGATAGCCCTGCCACACTGCTTTACAATGGAGGTGCGATAGCCCTGCCACACTGCTTTACAACGGAGGTACGATAGCCCTGCCACACTGCTTTACAATGGAGGTGCGATAGCCCTGCCACACTGCTTTACAACGGAGGTACGATAGCCCTGCCATACTGCTTTACAATGGAGGTGCGATAGCCCTGCCACACTGCTTTACAACGGAGGTATGATAGCCCTGCCACACTGCTTTACAATGGAGGTGCGATAGCCCTGCCACACTGCTTTACAACGGAGGTACGATAGCCCTGCCACACTGCTTTACAATGGAGGTGCGATAGCCCTGCCACACTGCTTTACAATGGAGGTGCGATAGCCCTGCCACACTGCTTTACAATGGAGGTGCGATAGCCCTGCCACACTGCTTTACAATGGAGGTGCGATAGCCCTGCCCCACTGCTTTACAATGGAGGTGCGATAGCCCTGCCACACTGCTTTACAATGGAGGTGCGATAGCCCTGCCACACTGCTTTACAATGGAGGTGCGATAGCCCTGCCACACTGCTTTACAATGGAGGTGCGATAGCCCTGCCACACTGCTTTACAACGGAGGTACGATAGCCCTGCCACACTGCTTTACAATGGAGGTACAATAGCCCTGCTACACTGCTTTACAATGGAGGTAAATGAACAAGCCAACATTCCAAACTGGCCATGTTTTTATAGTTCTGTTTTTATTGCATACATGAGTGGTGCGATGGTAATGTTGGTGTTATTTTCTCTCCAGCTCTCTCTGTTTGTCTTAAATCTCTCTAAGAAACACAATATGATTTAGTTAATAAATACATAACACACTCTTTTAGACTGCTGAAGCCTTGTTTAATTCCTAATCTTCCCTTTTGTCCAGTGTATGCCCGAGACGGTGGCGTGCCTCCTAACTTTGCCCGGGCGTCAGTGAAGATCCGGGTGTTGGATGAGAATGACAACGCCCCAGCGTTCAGTAGACTGTACTACAGCCTGGAGGTGCCTGAGAACATGGAGCCTGTTGAGCTTTTCACCCTCAGAGCTACTGACCTCGACACTGGGGACAGCGGAGAGATGACCTACAAGATCACTGGTAAGAGCCAACTACTTGTAGTAGTACAATTTAATTAATAATTGACTGATTGATTGATTGATCCATAGATCAATCGATCTATAGATCCATTGATCGTAATGTTGTTAGATTTACCTTTCATATTCTGTATCTCTTTCGCTCCACCTCCTCTCTTCCTCTTTCCTCCTCTGTTTCTCCCACTTTCTCCCTCCCTCTTCTAGAGGGCGACCCATCAGGTGACTTCCGTGTGGACAGGAAGTCAGGTGTTCTCTCCACCTCCAGACCACTGGACAGGGAACGTAGGGCCAGGTATAGTCTGACAGTGACAGCCCTTGACGGGGGCTCTCCAGCCCTGAGCAGCACGGCCACAATAGAGGTCACTCTCCTGGACATCAACGACCACAGCCCCCAGTTCACCAGCCCCAGCTACACCGCTGACCTCTCTGAGGATGTTCCTATTGGCTCCCTGGTGCTGGAGCTCTCTGCTACTGACCTGGACGAAGGGTCTAACAGCCAGGTACACAGACTGAACTCATAGGTTATGTCCCAAATGACACCCTAGTCCCTACATAGTGTACTACTTTTGACTAGAGCCCTATGCCTCCTGAGCCACCTTAAGGTTTGCCAAATGTAGCATAACACTTTTGCCACCCTTTATGAAATTTAGCTAACAAATGGAAGCCATCTATCTAGACCTTCAAAGGGTTAATGAAGGCTTCATTAAGCCTTAAAAGTTATGTTACGTTTTGTAATCTAATCTAATCTACTGTAATCTGTTCTAATCCCAGGTGCAGTACTTCCTGTCGCGCGGCTCCCAGGGCATGTTCATCATTGACCAGCACACAGGACATGTCATCACCGCCGCTCCGCTCGACCGGGAACGAACCGCGTCGTACACTTTCGATGTCTGCGCCACAGACTCGTCCCCCACCAGCCCTCGCAACTCCACCGCCACGGTCACTGTGTATGTACAGGACGTGAACGACAACGCTCCATTCTTCATCCAGGACCCCCTGGTCATCAACATCTCAGCCTCCAGGTAGGTAGCCTAGAGGTTAGCGAAGTAGGACAACAGCAGGAAGTTTGCCGGTTCTAATCCCATGTCCGGCAGGGAAGAATCTGGTTTGGAGTGTACTGTTTTGTCTTCTTTGTTGCGAATTAAATAAAACATTTATAAAAAAGGGTTGCTGGTGTGCCATCACCTGCTGCTGTGTGTCTTAGATGCCATCACCTACTGTTGTGCCCTTGAGCAAGGCACGTAACCCCTAAACTGCTCAACGGGCATCGTAGTATGGCTGCCCTCTGCTCCAACCGACCTCTGTATGTGTCTTTCAGAGGGGTTAGAATAAAAGCAAAAGAAAAGTTTTAGTTGGACATCCATGTTCTTCTTCTTCTTCTCCAGTGTCTCCTCCCACCGCGTCCTGGCCACCATGCGGGCGGAGGACCGTGATTTTGGGGCCAACGGCTCAGTGTTCTACCGCTTCGCCAGCCCTGTCCGGGGATTCACCATCAACTCTCTGACCGGGGACATCCAGGTGTTGTTACATTATTAATCAGGGTATTTATGTGTCAAATAACGCCCGTAAGGGATGGCTTGCTTAGGGCGACTTAAGACTAAAATACTTTTCATTCATTCATTAATTCATTCATTCATTCATTTATCCCAGGCTACAGAGAAGCTGCAAGGACTGACCCAGGGCCAGAGGACTCTGATTGTAGAGGCTATGGACCAGGGCAGCCCAGCCCAGTCCTCTCTAGGGGTGGTGGTCATCTACATCAGAGAACAGACCTACAGGGGGATCCACTTCTCACGCCACGCTAGAGACGTCAGTCTGCAGGAGAACGCCGCCAAAGGTAGGAACAGGGGATTTTTCTTTGATTCAAAGAGTGTGATATTAAGGTATATATGTTTTGTTGTGAGTCTGAGGTGTGTGACAGAGTGGCGCCGGAGAAGATGGCTGCCGTTTTACAGCCCTCTAACCAATTGTACTATTATGTGTGTTTTTTCACGTTATTTGTCATTTATTCTGTACATAATGTTTCTACCACCGTCTCTTATGACCAAAAAGAGCTTCTGGATATCAGGACAGCGATTACTCACCTCGTATTGGACAAAGATTTTTTATTCAATGAGTCAGTCGGACGCGAAGGATATTCTACATGAGAAAGAGACGGACATATCGTGGACGTAGGTTGGGTGCCTTGTAAGGATCCGACGGCGAGCGAGTAAACTGTCTCTTCCATCAATCCTATTAGCCAATGTTCAATCATTTGAAAATAAATTGGACGACCTAAGATTAAGGTTATCCTACCAACGGGACATTAAAAACTGTAATATCTTATGTTTCACCGAGTCGTGGCTGAATGATGACATGGATAACATAAAGCTGGCGGGATATACTCTACATCGGCAGGATATAACGGCTGACTCCGGTAAGACAAGGGGTGGCGGTCTGTGTATATTTGTAAACAACGGCTGGTGCATAAAATCTAATACTAAGGAAGTCTCTAGGTTTTGCTCGGCTGAGGTAGAGTATCTCATGATAAGCTGTAGACCACACTATTTACCAAGAGAGTTTACATCTATATTTTTCGTAGCTGTCTATTTACCACCACAAACCGATGCTGGCACTAGATTGCACTCAATGAGCTGTATAAGGCCATAAGTAAACAGGAAAACGCTCATCCAGAGGCAGCGCTCCTAGTGGCCGGGGACTTTAACGCAGGGAAACTTAAATCTGTTCTACCTAATTTCTACCAGCATATGTGCAACCCTCCATTTGGCAAATCTGACCATAACCCTATCCTCCTGATTCCTGCTTAAGCAAACACTAAAGCAGGAAGCACCAGTGACTCGGTTAATAAGGAAGTGGTCAGATAATAATAATAATAATAATAATAGATGACGCAGATGCTAAGCTACAGGACTGTTTTGCTAGCACAGACTGGAATATGTTCTGGGATTCTTCAGATAGCATTGAGGAGTACACCACATCAGACACTGGCTTCATCAATAAGTGCATCGATGACGTCGTCCCCACAGTGACCGTACATACATACCCCAACCAGAAGCCATGGATTACAGGCAACATCCGCATTGAGCTAAAGGGTAGAGCTGCCGCTTTCAAGGAGCGGGACGCTTATAAGAAATCCCCCTATGCCCTCAGACGAACCATCAAACAGGCAAAGAGTCAATACAGGACTAAGATTGAATCGTACTACACCGGCTCCGACGCTCATCAGATGTGGCAGGGCTTGAAAACTATTACAGACTACAAAGGGAAGCACAGCCGCGAGCTGCCCAGTGACACGAGCCTACCAGACGAGCTTCTATGCTCGCTTCGAGGCAAGCAACACTGAAGCATGCATGAGAGCATCAACTGTTCCGGATGACTATGTGATCACGCTCTCCGTAGCCGATGTGAGTAAGACTTTTAAGCAGGTCAACATTCACAAGGCCGCAGGGCCAGACGGATTACCAGGACGTGTACTCCGAGCATGCGCTGACCAACTGGCAAGTGTCTTCACTGACATTTTCAACATGTCCCTGACTGAGTCTGTAATACCAACATGTTTCAAGCAGACCACCATAGTCCCTGTGCCCAAGAACACTAAGAAACCTGCCTAAATGACTACCGACCCGTAGCACTCACGTCTGTAGCCATGAAGTGCTTTGAAAGGCTGGTCATGGCTCACATCAACACCATTATCCCAGAAACCCTAGACCCACTCCAATTTGCATACCACCCCAACAGATCCACAGATGATGCAATCTCTATTGCACTCCACACTGCCCTTTCCCACCTGGACAAGAGGAACACGTACGTGAGAATACTATTCATTGACTACAGCTCAGCGTTCAACACCATAGTGCCCTCAAAGCTCATCACTAAGCTAAGGACCCTTGGACTAAACACCTCCCTCTGCAACTGGATCCTGGACTTCCTGATGGGCCGCCCCCAGGTGGTAAGGGTAGGTAACAACACATCAGCCAGGCTGATCCTCAACACGGGGGCCCCTCAGGGGTGCGTGCTCAGTCCCCTCCTGTACTCCCTGTTCACCCATGACTGCATGACCAGGCACGACTCCAACACAATCATTAAGTTTGCAGACGACACAACAGTGGTAGGCCTGATCACCGACAACGATGAGACAGCCTATAGGGAGGAGGTCAGAGACCTGGCCGTGTGGTGCCAGGATAACAACCTCTCCCTCAGCGTGATCAAGACAAAGGAGATGATTGTGGACTACAGGGAAAAAAAGAGGGCTGAGCACGCCCCCATTCTCATCGACGGGGCTGTAGTGGAACAGGTTGAGAGCTTCAAGTTCCTTTGTGTCCACATCACCAACAAACTATCATGGTCCAAACACACCAAGACAGTCGTGAAGAGGGCACGACAAAGCCTATTCCCCCTCAGTAGACTGAAAAGATTTGGCATGGGTCCTCAGATCCTCAAAAAGTTCTACAGCTGCACCATCGAGAGCATCCTGACTGGTTGCATCACCGCCTGGTATGGCAACTGCTCGACCTCCAACTGCAAGGCACTACAGAGGGTAGTGCGTACGGCCCAGTACATCACTGCGGCCAAGCTTCCTGCCATCCAGGACCTTTATACCAGGCGGTGTCAGAGGAAGGCCCTAAAAATGGTCAAAGACTCCAGCCACCCTAGTCATAGACTGTTCTCTCTGCTACCGCACGGCAAGCGGTACCGGAGCGCCAAGTCTAGGTCCAAAAGGCTTCTTAACATCTTCTACCCCCAAGCCATAAGACTCCTTTAATTATTAGCTATTTTTATTTTTTACTTAAAACTGCATTGTTGGTTAAGGGCTTGTAAGAAAGCATTTCACTGTAAGGTCTACACCTGTTGTATTCTGCGCATGTGGCAAATAAAATGTGATTTGACTTGTATAATGTAAGTAATCAATGTGAGACTGAGGTGTGTATAATGTAAGTAATCAATGTGAGACTGAGGTGTGTATAATGTAAGTAATCAGTGTGAGACTGAGGTGTGTATAATGTAAGTAATCAGTGTGAGACTGAGGTGTGTATAATGTAAGTAATCAGTGTGAGACTGAGGTGTGTATAATGTAAGTAATCAGTGTGAGACTGAGGTGTGTATAATGTAAGTAATCAGTGTGAGACTGAGGTGTGTATAATGTAAGTAATCAGTGTGAGACTGAGGTGTGTGTGTTTAGAACACAGTGTGATAGTGAGGTGTGGTTTGTCCTCCTCCAGGTACCGCTGTGGTGCAGACTCAGGCCCAGTACCCTGATGGATCCCGTAGTGGGATCAGTTACAGCATCTTCAGTGGCAACACGCTACACTCCTTTGGAATCAGCTCCTCCACTGGTAAGCCACTGGGGTGGGGAATTATATAAAACCCATGTTGACAATATTTTCGATTCACTATATGAAAAAGGTGTGTAAAAAACCTTTACGTGTGTTTACACTCTACATCCCTGATGCATATCATGAATATCCATTGCCCAATTGGTTCTCAGCCCCTTGTTATTGTTCTAACCAGGTGAGATCTGTCCTTGATATTGTTCTAACCAGGTGAGATCTGTCCTTGTTATTGTTTTAACCAGGTGAGATCTGTCCTTATTGTTCTAACCAGGTGAGATCTGGGTACAGAGCTCCATGGGGCTGGACTATGAGGAGACCCCTAGACTCCGCCTAGTGGTGAAGGCTGAAACGGCATCCTCCAGTTCCTTCATGGCGGTCAACCTGATCCTGCAGGACGTCAATGACAACCTGCCGCGCTTCCAGCTGCAGAACTATGTAGCCTACATACGAGAGGCACAGGGATATCATTTCCCTATCATACAGGTAGGTACACTAACAAGCGTGCACACACTGATGCACGCTGCACGCACACACACACAAACACACACACACACTTATATTATGCTTGGCTATAGGTGGTGTGAGGTTGTGGGCTAGAAAACGCTCTAAGTTCAGACGGTAGAGATCTGGATAGTTTCAGTGCTGCTGCGGTAGTTCTGAGAGGTGACTGTCTGTTCCTATGCCTCTTCTACAGTGTGTTTCCAACATCCCTGTTGAGTATATAGACTCAGCTGTATGACGCCACGGCCATTTAGAACCTTTTTATAAACTCTCGTTCCACTGCTCCAACAGTTCCAAGTCCAATATCCATCACCAGGTCCTGTTACTGTTCCACAGCTGTTATAAATCTGTTCTTTGTTTTGATGTATTTCTTCTCTGACATCTGACCTCTGGTCACGTGACTTCCTGTCTGTCCCCAGGTGTTGGCAGATTAATATAATTTTTTATATATTTTTGTATCGCTTTCAAAAACAAAACAACATTCAAAACAATGAACAGCAGGGGAAGGGTGAACAACAGCCAATGACAGCTAAATCAGTTTCCTACACAGTAAAACAGATTGGAAAAGGCTAACCATAAACACAAGTACACTTTGCTTTTAAGACTAAAGAAAACCAGTGATATCAGAAGACAATACTTTTTTTTGTTTAGATTATCTTTCTGACCTCTGACCTCAGTCATGTGACTTCCTGTGCAGGTGGTGGCTGATGACCTGGACCAGGGCCAGAATGGTCAGGTGACCTACAGCCTGAGGTCGTCGTCTCTCAGCGGCCTGTTCAAGATCGACCCGCTGACCGGAAGCATCACCACCGCCGCAATCATGGACCGAGAGATCTGGACACAAACCAAGTGAGGGGCAGGGCCTTGGGATGTGTGTGTGTGTTTGTTCACAATCTGCCTGCCATGTGGTTTGCCTCAGTGGGCTAACCTTTGTTTTCAGTCTATAAATACTCTCCCTGTTACTGTACTCTCTCTCTCTTTGCATTGGAAACTAAATATCTGTCATGCTCTGGGCTACAACAGGTTCTGATGTAAGACAGCAGGAGATGAAAGGTTATGAAACCTGAAACATAAAAGATAAGAACTGAACTCCAACTGACAGTTAATTTTTTTGTTTCCATGGCACCAGGCTGGTTGTTACGGCGACGGACCGGGGCACACCACGATTGGCCGGCTCGGCGACTCTCACGGAATGATAAGAACTGAACTCCCTGACAGTTATTTTTG